CAAAGGATCTTGTTAGCTTTCTGGTTTTTCTGAGGTTGCCTAGTAGGGGAGATCAGAGGATCATGCTCTAGAAGGGCAGGAGAGGACCTCAGATGCCATCTAGACCAAGCCCTCGTTTTACAAAGGAGGAAACTGAGGCTTAGGGAGGGGAGTGACTTGGCAAGGTCATGCAGGTAGGAAGCATCAGACAGGATTGAAACTCGGGTCCTCTGATGCCACCACATCACGCAGATGCTAATTGGCTTCTCTCACATTTCACTGTGCAGGTCACGCCTTTGGTGACCACTGTCCATGCTGCATGGGAAGATGGTTCTCACCATCCCTAACCAGATCTGGTAACACCCCTTTGTGCTGGTGAAGGGATCCCAGCTGTGACATTTCCCCTAGCGCCCACAAGGTGGCAGCATTTCCCCAGGAATGAAGGGTGCTCCTGCAAAGCCTTTGCTTGCCTCAAGGGAGCCAGCCTATCTCTGAGACCTGGGTGAGTGCAAGCTTTGTTGTCCTGGACTCCAAGGGAGCCCCAGAAGTAGTGAGCCTCAAAGACAGAGCCCAGAGCACTGACAATGCCATCTAGCAATTTAATCAGATTAGCAAAGTAAACAGGAGAGGCGGTGCTGCATAGTGGATAGAGAGCCGGCCTCAGAATCAGAAACACCTGGGTTCAAATGCTGCCTTTGACACATACTGGCTGTGAGACCTTGTGCCTAGGGAGCTCTCCAAGATAAGTTGCAGAGCAGGTGCGTTACCTGCATTAGTGGAGGGAGCTTCCTCATACCTCAGATATTAAAAATAAATAAACATTTCTTGAATACTCACTTCTGAGCAATGTACCAGGAAGTACAGTATAAATCCTGTTATCAAGGTAGTTGCAGCTGGATGGCGCCATAGTGCACAGAGCTCTGGGCTTGAAGTCAAGAAGACTCATCTTCAGGAGTTCCAATCTGGCCTCAGGCACTTCCTAGCTGTGTGACCCTAGGCAAGTCACTTGGTTTGCCTCAGTTTCTTTATCTGTAAAATGAGCTGGAGAAGGAAATAGCAAACCACTCCAGGATCTTTGCCAAGAAACCCCCAAATGGGGTCATGAAGAGTTGGACAGGACTGAAACAACTCAAGAGTGCGGCGGAAGCACAGAAAGGAATGGTTGGGCCATGTAGGCTTTCTTGTTATTCCTCCCACATGCTCCCCCATCTCCCGCTTCTGTAACTTTGTCCCGGCTGCTACTCAGAGCTGGAACGCACTCCCTCCCTTGTCTCCTGAAAACTCTGTTCAAGCACCCCTCCAGCAGGAGACATTTTGAGGAAGACGAGAAAGAAAGCCTTCCCTCATTGAGAAAGAACGTTGACAAGATTCTGCTGATTCAGACTGAGGTGGTGACGTTCTGAATGTGCAGGGGCTTGAAGGCGACTCACTTAAGACCTTTCGTTTATCTGGTGACTTGATACTACATAGAAATGTGGAGAAATGGGAACTGGCTAGAAGACAGACCATAGGGCTCTGGTGGTCATTGTTCAGGCAGCAGGCAAAGTAGACACCTCCATCATTTAGACTTCCCTCCGTGAATCAGACAGATTCAGATTTGCAGAAATCTCAAAGATCCCCTTGGATCTCTTGGAAAGGGAAACATAAACAGATATACATCGAAGAATAACATTAAGTTTAGGCAGGGGTGTCCTTGTAAATTATTAACAACGAAGGCTCTTAAAACTGTAGCGAGGATACACTTAGATTTAATCTGCATTAACACTTTCTCCACTTTAGTAAGTTTAGACAGTCAATAAAACAAATTCCAACTCTGATTTGTAGTGGTTGCTGATTTATGAGGTGTAAATGCTCACAATGAAACTTAAACAATCAGATCTGGGTGACGCTGACCCTTGAATAGGTCATACAGGTTTTATACAAGGCAGATGGGGGGGGAGGAGTGAGACCTACCTTCAGACCAATATGGTGTATTTTTTTTATTGTGTAAAAAGTTTAAAATTTTTTCTTCCTTTAAATTTTCAGGCTCTTATACTACATTGGGAATCAGGGCACATGTTCTTTTTTTTTTTTTAAACCAAAAGTTCAAGAAATTACATATTCTTTCAACAACTGAAGCTGAAGAGTTCAATAATTAATAAAAAATTAAAATCCTTTATGTTTATCATGAAACATATTCTTGTTATGAATTGTAACTTTTTACTAACTTGACTCATTTTTTATTTATTAGTTTTCATTTTTATCTTCATTCACAGTAAAGGCTATTTTAAATAAGACTAGATTGAGGGAATAGGCCGCTAGGTGGCGCAGTGGAGAGAAAGTTGGATTCAGAGTCAAGATTGATATTAGTCCTTTGTTCTCCAAGAGGACCACGACATCAGGAAGAAAATGTCATGACTTGCAAGTGAATTGGATTTAAGTGAGGCAGGGCTGTGCAGTCACCAGCCTCACTGTCTCCTCTGGAGCCATCTGGGTCCAGTGGGGAGATATAAACCCCGGATGACCGGAGATGGCCCCTTAGAGTCAAGAAGATCTGAGTTCAAATTTGACCTCAGACACTTAATAGTTATGTGACCTCGGGCAAGTCACTCAGCCTGTTTGCCTCAGTTTCCTAAACTGTAAAGGGAATAAGTGAATGAGTGCCTACCTTAGGGTTGTGAAAATTAAATGAGATAATGTATGCAGAAGCATGAGTTACTTCATAGAATGTCAGGCCTAAAAAAGCCCTTAGAGATAAGCTAGGCTGAATCATTAAAAAGATGGTTAATAACGTCTAGATATGGAAATAGCGATTCCCAAGAGCCAGCATGGCTTTACCAATGGGTCATGCCAACCTAACCCCATTTCTTCTTTCTCTCTCTCTCTCTTTTTTTTTTTAAAGGCAATTAGGGGTAAGTGATTTGCCCCGGGTCACACAGTTAGTAAGTGTCAAGTGTTTGGTCTGAGGCCAGACTTGAACTCAGGTCCTCCTGACTTCAGGGCCAGTGCTCTATCCACTACGCCACCCAGCTGCCCCCCATTTCTTCTTTTGACAGAGGTACTAGACTCCTGATTCTGGGAAAGAGATGCAATAGGTAGTTCACCTACATTTCAGGAATGCATGTAATAATTCTCTCCTGCTATTCTTCAGGCCAAGTCGGAAAGGGCGAGTTTGGGATTGGTTGACTGGCCAGACCCAGTGTAGTCATTCCGGTTCAGTGTCAACTTGGAAGGTTTCCCAGTGCCTGGCCCTGTCCTGTCATTTACTCCTTTAGTTAATAACTTGGATAAAGGAACAGATGGCATGCTTATCAAATTTGCTGATTACGCCAAACTAAAATAATTAACACATTAGATTACAGTCAGGTTCAAAAGGACTTTGACCAGATAGAACACAGGGCCAAATCAAATGCAATGAAAATGAATAGAAGTAAAGGTGAAATCTTCCGTGGGCTTAAAAAAAAATCAGCTTCCTAAGTACAATATGGGAGGAGTGGCTGTAGAGCAGTTCCTTTGAAGAAGGTACGTGGGTTTTAGTGGACCGCGACCTGAACACCAGCATAGCATGACACCGCACCTGAGAAAGCTAATGTGATCACAGGCGTTATCGAGAGGCAGCGTCCGGGTCAAAGAGACGACAGTCCTGGCGTACTCTGCCCGAATAGGCTCAGTTCAGGTGCCACATTTGAGCATCCAGAGGAGGGTGACCAGATGAGGCCTGCAGTTCATGCTATATTTGGATGACGTGAAGGAACTGGGAAAGTTTATTTACGTGGAAAACTTGGATGTGACAACAATCTACTGAGGCAGGCATGTGGAAGAAGTTTATTTTCTTCTGCTTGGCCCCAGATGCATTCTACAGTCCAGCCAAACCGGATTTCTTGGCTTTTCCTCACACACTTTTTATTTCCTATCTCCGTGCCTTTGCACTGGCCGAAGCTTACGCCTGGAATGCGCTCCCTCCTCACTTAAAATCTTCGACTCCCTAATATCCTTCAAATTCCTGTTCAAGGGCTGCGCTCAGCGCGAAGCTTTTCCTGATCCCCTTTCCCACGTGCCAGTGCCTGCCTCTGTGAAAATCTTGTAAGAACTAGTATGTGCAAAGACATCCTGCCACAGTGGATGGAGGTTTGGCTGTGAAGCCAAGAAGTGGATTCAGGTCCTCCCTCCGACACCCGTGGGTGGCTTCACCAGAGAGCTTCACTGAACCACTCAATGCTCTCTCCTCTGTGATTCTAAGTTTCAGAGTTTCTTCACCTGTGAGCTCCCCATAGCAGGGCTGCCAATGAAGCTTCAGATTAAGATCGAATTGGGGGTAATGTTGAATAAAAATACAACCTAATGTTAATCTGTGGGCTTTTTCAATCAGTATGTGGCTGCATTGGTGTCTCTATGTTTGACAGTACTAGCCCCTATCTTTATATACTGCGAAGACCAGGCGCTGGGTGCCCCGATGGAGCACTGGGGCCTTTCCTGTTTGTCTCTGTACCCCTGGCGGCCATCCCGCTGCCCAGGTGGTCCACTGCCTGTGCAACTGTTGGGAGGGTTCCAGCTAAGCAGCCACTGGCTTGATGGGAAGAGAAACCTCCTCCTAGAGCCAGCCCGAGGTGGGAAGGGGCTGCTTTGGGAGGTCGAAGTTGGAGGTCACAGACGAGATGCTCCATCACCTTTTCTGATAAAGTTTGAATTCAAAGCCCCATTTTAGAGATGAGAAAACTGAGGCCCAGAGGTGAAAAATGACCGGGATCTCTCCCTACACCCCCACCTCGGTCCGGGGTCTCTCCCCGCGGCCCCCCCCACCTCGTGCGGGGGTCTCTCCCTGCGCCCCTCCCACCCCGGGGCTCGGGGTGTGGGGGGGGCATCTTTCCAGGTCCCTCCCACCCCCGTCAGCCAAGCTCTCCGGCCGGCTCCGCCACCGCCCCGCGGTTGCACAATGGGGGGCGCGCCGGCTGACCTCGCGCGCCCTCCCCCCGGGGGGTACAGTGACGGGAGCAGGCCGGCGGACACCGAGGCTGCACGAGGACACGACCCCAGGGCACCCGCACTAAACCTTTGGGAGCGCATAAAGATGCCCGTGTCCCGCAGGACCGGGTGCAAAGACGGCGGGCGGAGCCATGCCTCTCTGACCCAATCACTGGCTTCCATGGTCCGCCGGTCTCCACGGCGACGCGGAGCTCCCGCCCCCACGTCCTCTCCCTTAAGCGCCAGGGAAGCTCGAGAGGAAACCGGAAATAAGCAGGGCAGGAGGCGGAGGAAGTGCTGGAATGAAGGGGACGGGACTTCCGGCTCCTCCCGGGAAGTGACGCAACAGCCGCGGCCTCAGGCAGGTAGAGCGGCTGGTGAGTCCGAGTGCCAACGCGGCCCGAACCCGGCCCGGGCCCCGGGGCGGCCGCCGCTTCCGGGGACAGGCCCCCGGGGGCGGGCGGCGGGGGCAGTGAGCTTCCTGTTTGGCAAAAGGAGGCAGAGGTCCGAGTTCATCATCTCCGACGCGGTAAGAAAAGGGGCTCCGCCCCCGCGCTCTGACGAAATAAGGGCGGGACTTGAGGGCGAAGGGGCGGGGCGTCCATGTATTGGCAGGTGAGGGTTAGAACGTAAGGCGCGAGCGGGGGCGGAGCTTGTGGCCGGAGGGGAGGGGTCACGGGGCGGGGCTTCAGTGAGGGGCGGGGCCGACTGATTGATGGGGAGAGGGCGGAGTATAGAACCCAGGGGGAGAAACTTGCAGGGGCGGGGCCTTAAGGGGCGGTGCTTAGGAATAGAGGGCTGGAACTGAGAGGGGAGGGGACCTGGGATGGTTGGGTGGGGCTAAAGGAGGGCTGGGATCCACCTCCTCCTGCCCATTGACACCTGCTCTGAGGTTGGGAGGGTGGGTGTGGCAGTTTAGGAGGGAAGGGGGAAGTGGATGCTTCCCGGACCCAAGTTCAAATCCTGCCTCACAGCCTGTCTTAACTTCTGCCTCAGTTTCCTCCACTGTACAGTGGGGATAGCAGTAGCACCTCCCTCGGAAGGCGAGCGCAGTGCCTGGCACGTTGTAGATGCTGGATAAAATGCTTATCCCTTCCTTCTCCCCCATTTACAGAGCTTGATCTCTCCCCAAAAGCCTAGCGTAGTGCTGTGCACACTACAGGCGCTTAATAAATGTTCTTTGCATTGGGCACCATTCCCTAGCTCCAGGCCTGGGGAGGAGCCAGGGACAGAAGCTCCATCACGCTTCTGATCATGACATGGGGGATCCTGGAATGTTCGTAGAGTGGGGGAGGGGTGCTAAGGGCCGGGTTCATTGCCATGGGAGATTGGGACAGCCAGGACCTGCCCCAGGTTGAGTAAGAGCACTAGATTTTCATCGTGGTTCTGATGGCCTTATGCCCTGGTCAAGTCTTAGCCTCTGTTTCCTCATCTATAAAATGGGAGTGATTAAAAAATACTTCTATATAATTACTATTATTATAAGTTTCCAAGCTTTTTGAGGAAGGTCGCGTGCAGTGCAAATCACAGAGTGAAGATTTAAAAGCAGGGCCTCTAGATTCCAAATCCAGCACTTTTCAGTGCCTGGTGTCGGACATGTGGTAGGGGCCTGATAAGTGCTTTGCTTACTTACCACTCTCCCATACTTACATACCCACTCCTACCTCCAGCTTGACAAGTCATTTAACATTTCTGAACTCATCAGTAAAATAAGGTGCTTGGACTAGATTCTAGTCACTCGAAGTGACTCTGAAGTCCATTTCCTCTGGAAATCATCTTAAATAAAGTTGTGCAGGAAGGAAGGGGCTGGAATAGGCCACACACAGACAGATGTGATGAGAAGGGAAGGGGCTGTGACGTCTCTTCTCCAGTCACGGGGCTGATCTGGGTATTCCTCCTTCCCCACCCGGCCCTCCAGGGAGGGTGAGGAGCCAGGACCTACAGCAGGTACTGGAGAGAGAAAAGGGACAGGATATTAGGACCTTCTTCCATCATCCCTGGCGCTCTCTGACATCTTTGTCCTCCTTCCCATGCAGGACTGGACAATTGGTCTTCGAGGCCAGCCTGTCGCAAACCTTGGAATCATGTTTGCTGACATGGATTATGACATTGAGGAGGATAAGCTGTGAGTATCCCTAAAGAGCACTTTCTTCTAGGATTTGAGAGGTGATGGAAAGTTCTGGGCACCCCAGAAGGGGGCAAGCAGGGTGGGGAGGGGCCTGGTCAAAGGAAGGGACACGTGCAGCCTGGAGACCAGAAGGCCCGGAAGCCGGGCCAGCTTTCTTCACATCTGAAGGGCTGTTATTCGGGGGAGGTGTTGGATTGGTTTTATTTGGCCCCAGAGGGCAGCACCAGCAGCGGTGGGGCAAAAAATTGAGAGAAGTCACTTTGGGTTTGAGGTCAGGGGAAGCCAGCTGACAATTCAGCTTGTCCAGAAGTGGGCCAGGCTGCCTGCGAGTGATGTGGGGACTCACTCCTTGGAGGTCTCCCGGTAGAGGCTGCAAGGCCGGACTCTCTTTAGGTATGGCTTAGAGGAGGACGCCTCTGAGGTCCCTGGGTCCTGGACCCTGGAGAGCCCCAGAATGTCCCCGGCGTGGCTCTGGGCCAGGGCTCTAGCACAGTCCTCCCAGATCCCTTAGTGTTCCTTGTGGCCATCGGCATGGAATAGATCTCACGTGGAATGCTTGGAGGGGAAAGGCAGGGCACTGGAGGCAGACACGTCCCCCATGTGTCGTGCTCTCGGATGAGCACTTCAGTGTCCTTGCAGGCCTGCAGGAGCAGTAGCGTGACAGCCGCTCTTCCGTCTTGTTGCTGCTATTCTGTCATTTCGGTCCTGTCCGACTCTCCATGACCCCATTTGGGGTTTTCTTGGCAGAGATACTGCAATGGTTTGCCATTTCCTTCTCCAGCTCATTTTACAGATGAGGAAACTGAGGCAAACAGGGTGAGGTGACTTGCCTAGGGTCACATAGCTACTAAGTGTCTGAGGCAGGATTTGAACTCGGGAATCCAGACCCAGCACTCTGCATTTTGGCGCCACCTAGCTGCCCTCTTATCCCATATTACAGATGAGAAAACCAAGTCTGAGAGGAGGTTACACGTCCTGCCTGCCCAACATCCCTTCCCTCCCATCTATTGCGTATATAGGGCAGGATTTCCATCGAGCTCTCCTGCCCCTCAGTCCCACGTCCTTATCCCTGGCATCTCACTGCCAGCTTGGCTTAGCCAAAGTGCCAGGTTTGGGGTCTGCTTACTCCCCAGTGCGCCTTCTCTGGGCCTCATCTTCCTCCTCATACAGCAGAGGTGGGGTAGATGATCTTTGCTAACTCGAAATCTTTTTTTAAAAGTATATTTTTATTTATCTCATTAACTATTTCTCAATTCCATGTAAAAAACATTTTAACATTCATTTAAGAGAAAGTTAGAGTTCCAACTTCTCTCCCTCCCCCCCCCCCCCCCCCCCCCTGAGAAGGCAAGATCTCTCTATATATATGCGCTTTATCCCTGTGACCTCGTGCAGAATGTGTTTCCGTAGAAGAAAACACGCACACGGTAGGAAAGATAAAGAAAGGAAGAAAAGCCTGCTTCCGGTGTGCTCATCTGGAGACCGAGAGCATCCTTTCCCCGGGGAGTGGTCTCGCCTCTTTGTCTTGCTCTGCGTCTGCCTCTGCCCCCAGGAGGAGCCAGGGTCTTCTGGGTGAGCTGGAGCCGAGCTGCTCGCCTTCCCCTGGAGGCACCGGGCCCGTCTGGGGGCCCGGCTGGACGCCCCCCCCCCCAGGGCTGTGTCTGGCTCTCCAGGCGGCCCCAGGTGGGCACCGGTCCTGGTGTGAGGAGAGGAAGCGGCCTGTGACCTCAGAGGTTGTGCTTCCAAGCTCTGCACAGGTCGTTTCTCTAGAGAATGGAAGCTTCCTGAGGGCTCAGAGTCCAGCACACAGTTGGTGCTTACAAAGCCCTTGGTGATTGAGGCGCCTTTTTATCCTTAGTAATGACTTGCATTGCTGTTGTCCTCTAACATCCCCAGAGTGATTTTCTGAGGGGAGCAGAGCAGGAAGCGTTTCCCCCATTTTACTGAGAGATTCAGTGACTTGCCCAGGGTCCCTCAGTCCTTGTGCCTAGGAGCTAGGACTAGAACCCAGGACCTGTGAGGCATGAGGCCCCAGCCCCATCCGCGGGTGAGTCCAGATCCTTACCCATTGACTTTTGAAACCTTACTTGGGCATCTGGACTTGGAATTGGGAAGACCTGAGTTTGAATCCTCCTTCAGGCCCTTACCAGGTATGTTTGTGACCCCAGGCAAGTCACTTAACCTCTGCGAGCCGAGCCTCAGTTTCCTTCTCGGTAAGATGGAGATAGCACTTCAGCCACAACCAGACCCTATGTCCCCAAGGTTCAGATGGAGTCCTCCTGGGGAGGACATCAATTCCGACATATCTCCCCTCCTCCCTTGCCTCCCCCGTCAGCATCTTGGATTCTCAGCATGTTCCAATCCCTCGTGAGGTTTAGGAGCAATCCTCGAAATCTTGTCTGAGCCCCTGAACTAGGCTGAGCTCCGTGGAGCCAGGTACTGTCTTTGCAGCCTTAATGTTACCAAGTATAGGGCACAGTATATCCGAGTGGCCTGAAACGCGATTATTTATTGTTTGTTTATTGTTTATTATTATTATGCCTGTCATGTCTCTATTGGCTCAGGGTAGGTCTGTAGAACCAGGAGGTGGTCGCTTAAGGCTGGCAGTGGTGGCCAGACTGGCCTCACTCAGGCCCCTGCATCTCCCCCGACCCTGGGCTGTTTCTCCTGCCTGGAATGCCCTCAGTCCTCCCCCTCAGCCCCCAGCAGCTGCCTGTGCCCTGCCTTGTCCTGTCTGCGGTGATGGAGGCCCTTGTTGTCTGCCCTGTGAGCACGCAGGCTTTGTGAGGTCGGGGCCCATTTCAGTCTTGGGGCTTGTATCCCCAGGGCCGGGCACAGGGCCTGGCACAGGGTAGACACTTCACAAATGCCTGGTGATTGATCGATCGATCGATAGTTGGCCAGCCCTCATCAAGCATTTACTCGGCACTTACTCTGGGCTGGAGGGTCGGAGAGGACAAAGATGAATCATATTAACATCTCACGTTGCCATGGGATTTTAAGATTAACACAGTCTTTCACTCACAACAGCTTTTTGAGGTGGGTGGCACAAGGGGGTCATCTCCATTTCAGAGTGGGGCTCTGAGGTTCAGAAGTGCAGAAGTGGCCCGAGACCGCCCGGGTAGTGTCAGAGGGAGAGCCAGAAGCCAGGTCTCCTGACTCCCCGGCCCAGAGCTCATTCCATTAGGTTGTACCGAGGCTCCTCCACCACTGCCTGGTCCTTGCTTTGGTCTGGCAGTGAGTGAGATTGGTGTTGCTTTGCTGTTGGCCGCATGCGGAACGGATAAGGCCTTGACATGGGAGGCTTCGAGGAGCCTCTGGTTCAGTGGAAGTGAGGAAACCAGCCAGAAGCCAAGGATGCCGTCATGCGGGAGCAGGGAAGAGCACCCAGCTCCCCTGTCCCTCGTTGGCACGCGTAGGCCATTCTTCCTCTCTAGACCGTGGCTTTTTCATCTCTAAAATGGGGCTAGCTAAATCCTTGCCTCACCTGTGTCGGTCCCATGACCTGGTAGATAGAAAAGCCCTTTGTCACCTGAGCCTCCTTGTAGAGCCGTGTGGCGCTGTCTTCACGGTCTTCATGGAAGGGTTAGAAGAGAGGATGTTCTGGGCGGGGGGAGTCTCTCCGCTGGCCTCCCCTGTGCCCCCCCTCCTTCCTCTCCTCTGCTATCAGGTGCCTGTGGCTTTGGCGGATTCTTCCCCACCCCTTGTCTTCTGGCTCCTTCCTGCCCTTACCACCTTTTCCTTCCCTGTGCTCTAGCGGCATCCCCACAGTTCCTGGGACCGTGACGCTGCAGAAGGATTCGCAGAACCTGATCGGGATCAGCATTGGGGGAGGGGCTTTGTACTGCCCCTGCCTCTACATTGTCCAGGTATGGGGGCCTGGCAGTGGGGAGAGAGGGGGGCTTCTTGGGGTCCCCTAAAGGAGGGGAGCCATCTTCAACCTTGGGCAACCATGAGGAAGGGCTCATTTGGTAATGATTGAGAATGATTCTTTCTTGCTCAAGACCTTTTTCCTGCCTCAGATTCCCAATCCCCCCAAGCATTTTGTAAGTGCTGAACCAGGTTACCCACAGGACCCAGAGACGCGGATTGACAGTGGGCCACTCATACTCTCTCCCCTTGTTCTCCTCCTGACCCAGGCCACGTGCTGGCAGATGCCCCCCTTGAGGAGGGTCTCTCCTGGCGTGCCACGGGCATCTGCCTTTGGGGATACGATGGGCAGCATTGGGAATCAGTGGTTTGATTGAAGGCAGCTCAGGTGACGTGCTGGGCAGATTCATAGATGGCAAAAGCTGAACGCCTGGAAGAAGGGAGGGGCCGGATGGCCAGGGGTGTTGTGGGGGGTGGCGGCTTCTGGGATCCTTGGCGCTGTGGCTGGTGGCCCCAAAGCTGTCACAGACCTGCAGCAGTTGGCTGAAATGAACCATGTGACATATGATCGGGACAGATGGAAAGCTGTACACCCAGGATCCAAGTAGTCAACTTTACAGCGCCAGGACTGGGGAGCCTTACTGCCCTGGGAGCTCATTACCAGCCACAGTAGTGTGAGGGGACTGCCCTCCAAAGCTGATTTGTTGTTAGACTGTACAGAAGAAGCCCAGAGGAGGATGGGTGTGGTCCCGTCACTTAGTAAGTGCCACCCACTGGGCAGGTGCTCTAAGCAGAACAGGCCCAGGTCTTGAGGAAGGAGCTCATGTGGTGGGGGTGGGGGGGGGATCACGGAGTGTTGGTGGCTGTTCTCAGAGGCAGATCTGGAAAGTGGGAGGAGCGGCCGGGGACGAGGATGGCAGATGGCATGAGGCCGGATGGCCTGGAGGCAGAGGCATGATGACGGCTCACAGGCCGAAGAGCGAGTTGATGAGATTTTGGGAAGGACGTTGTGTGTTGTGTTGAGAAGGGACGGGACAGAATTCAGAGGCAGGCGTGTCAGAGAAGTTGCAGAATAGCTCAGAGAACAGAAGGCCGATGTTAACTCCTCCCCGTTGTAGCCCTCGGCGCTGCAGTGACCTGCCTCAGTGAGGAGTGAGGTTGGAGTGGGTTTGCTGTGAGAGGAGACGAGGACTTCAGAGGGGCATGGGAAAGGGCCGCCGCCCTTCCCGCTCCCCTCGCTCCCCTGCAGACAGGCCTGCCCCTGCTCCATGGCCGCCACCTCTTTGGTGGGGCTTTCACCTTCTGTAGACAGGGCCAGTCTCATCGCTCTGCCCCACGACTCCCCTTCATGTACGTGAAGACGGCCAGTCTTCCCTCCCGCCCCCAAGCCTCCGCCTTTTCAAAGTAGAGGTGTCCCTAGCTCCTTTAGCCATGCCTCACACGGCACATACTGTTTGCCATTGTGGTAACTGGTCTCTGAATTTTCAATGTCCTTGAAATACGGCGCCCAGAAGTGAACACAGTGTTGCCGGTGTGGCGTCAAATCAAGCTCTTACTTCCTCGTCCTGGGCCTGGTTCTCTAACCCCCACCCGTAGCTATTGGTAGGTAGGGGTAGAGCGTCGGGCCTGGAGTCAGCAATACGTGCATTTAAATCCTGCCTCAGACCCTGACGAGCTGTGTGACCCTGGGCAAATCATCTAACTGCTGTCTGCCTCAGTTTCCCTTTCTGTAAGATGGGTCCCTCCCAGAGTTGTTGTGAGGATCCAGTGAGATAATTGCAGGTCACTTGGCCTGGCATGCAGTAGTCACTATATAAATGTTAGTCTTTATTCACCATCATTATTATTATTTCTTTGTTTTCGTATTCTTTTATCTTGCTTGAGCTTGCAACCCACTAAAAAATCTCCCCCATCTTTGTCACCTGAATGGCTGCCTATCCCGGTTGCCCTCATCCTATTATATGGGTAAAGGTGACTGGGGGCCCAAAGGCAGGACTTGACCTTTCTCCTTTCTGAATTTGATCTTGCTTAGATCCCTTCCTGAGTTCTGGACATTCTGAGATTGGGCAGGGGGCTCTCCCAGAGCCACAGGCGGCGGGGGGAGCAGTGCAGAGCTGCTTGGAATGGGGTGGCAGAGAGTGGCCATCGTCCCCTCTCCTCCTCAGGTTTTCGATAACACCCCTGCAGCCATCGATGGCACTGTCGCGGCTGGCGATGAGATCACTGGCGTCAATGGCAAATCAGTCAAGGGCAAGACCAAAGTGGAGGTGGCCAAGATGATCCAGGTCGTGAAGGTAAGGAAGGGCCAGGGTCAAGGCATCAGGCCTGAGTGGCGGCCACCTGGGGACGTGCCACGCAGAGCCCTCAGCCAGTGGTACCCAACGATGACAAGCACAGCCGGCCTGAAGTCAGCCAGTGATCAGTGGGTGTTGATTGGGTCTTCACTGCTGGACTTTGGGTACAGGCGAGGGGAGATCAGAAACACAGAAAGAGATAAGAACTCACTCACGGTCCTCAGGGGCTCACTCCTGCCTAGGGAACGGGGTGGGGGGGGAGGCTGCAGACCTCCAGTGGGGGCAGAGCTGCCTGAGGCTGGGAGCCTGTGGCCCTCGAGGACCTGGAGGGGCTCCCCGCCCCTGTGCTAGGGCATCCCTTTGTCTGTACAGCCTGGACACCAGTCCCCTGGCTTCTCATTCTGTCCCTCGGTTAGATCACAGGCTCCTTGAGGGCAGGGATTGTTTCATTTTTTTCTCTGTACCAAATCATCAGTAAGCATTTATTAAGGGGTTCTGTATGCCAGGAATGTAGTAAGTGGTTAATAAATGCTCACTGCTTGACCGATTGCTTCTTGACCAAGGGTGGTGGGTGGGTGGTGAGTGGGTGAGCCCCCCAGAACAGGTTATAATGTATTTTCCCCTTCCTTGCCATCCCTGAAGCATGCACCCCTTCTTTTGGGGGTTTACCAAGGGTTTTTACTGCAGTCTCTCTCAGCTCCCTCCCCCCGTCTTCACCCCGTCTTCCCAAGGGGCTCCTGAGTCCTCTGCTCACCTTCCCCCGCATACGGTAGCTCTTGGTGCTGGGAGGAAGCACCATGCCCATTTCATAGATCATCCACCTTCTTGAGACACCAGACCAAGGAAACACGGGTCTGACTGAGCACGTGTAGCCTGGAGTAGAGAAGAGAAGATTGGGGTGGGGTGGGGTGGTGGCATGAGGGCCCTCTTCCAGTGTCTGAAGGGCTGTTGTATAGAAAGACCTGCCCCAGAATCCAGGGAAGTCAGGGAGCATTGACTGAGCACCCCCTGTGTGCCAGGCACCACACTAACACCGAGGACACGAAGAAAGGCAGACAGCCCAGTGCCTGTGCCCCGGGAGCTCCCGCTGTGACCCAAACCAGGTGGACGCGGGCGAAGGCGGAGGAAACAGCAGCTCTGCGGGGGCAGCGGCAGGGGGGATCTGGTGGGGTTGGGAAGGCCTGGGGCTCGGTGTTCGCCTCCGTGAGCGGCCTGGCACGCGCAGGCCCCGCCACCCGTCTCTCCATCTTGCTCTTCCCAGGGTGAAGTGACGATTCATTACAACAAGCTCCAAGCTGACCCCAAGCAGGGCAAGTCCTTGGACATTGGTGAGCAGCCCCCTCCCCCTCACTCCAGTGACCCATGGCAAGGGTCGTGTTGGTTGTGCCCTCCCCAGACCATCCCTGAGCTGCCCCAGGCATGCTCACAGTTCTGGAGCTGCCTGAGGAGGGAGGACGGGGCTGAGGAGGCCCCCAGCACCCTCCCTCTCGGGGCGTGACTCCTCCTGCCTCCATGCTCCCTGGGCAGACTCCCTTGCGCCCCTTCTTCTAGCGATCCAGTCCCCGGTGTGGCTCTCCCCCCAGCTGGTTATTCTTGAGAGCTCTGCCTTCTGTCCCAGCCTGAAGCCCCAGGCCCCTTGAGATGGTTCCAGCTTCAGCTCCGGGCCAACCTAGCGGCAGCTCCTTCCCTGACCAGCCATGGCCTTCCCAGCTGGCGGGGCGGGGCTGGTTGGGAAGCAGACCTTGTGGTGGACCCCATCCCCTCCTGGGGCAGGGGAACCTTGTCACGTCCCTTGCCCTTGATGGCTCCGTGGGAGTGAGGGAGTCGCAGACCTGGGAGAAGTTTGACAGATGAAGAGTTGAAAACCTCGACGGGCTCGGGTTTGACCCAAGACCATCCCTGTGAGTTAGGGCGGAGCTGGGACTTGAGCTCGGGTCTTTGGACCACACGGGTGAGGTCTGATCTGGCCAGTTGGTGGCTTCAGAGCCTGGTGCCTGCGCCCCACCCTGCTGCAGAGTGGGGGGCCGGTGTCATGCCCTGTCCCTCAAGCACCCCACACTGTCCAGATGAGGGGGAGGGGCCACCGCGTGCTCACCACCACCTCCCTGTCTCTAGTTTTGAAGAAGGTGAAACACCGGCTGGTGGAGAACATGAGCTCGGGGACGGCGGACGCTCTGGGCCTGAGCCGGGCCATCCTGTGCAATGGTGAGCTGTGGACCCAGGGGCACGGGGGCCTGGGTGCGGATCCTGGGCCGGGATTCGTGGCCTTCTTGGGCCGCATGGTACCTGGGTGACTGTGGGCCAGGTGCGACTCCCCGGCTTCTCGGTCTCCTCCTCTGTAGCCTTAGACAGAGGGTCCTGAACCAGTCCCTTGTCCTCCAAGCCTCGGGGTTATCATCACTAAGATGACATCGTCACTGTTTCTTGTACTTGACTCCCCATGGTTGTGACAAGTTCAGCTGGGATAGTGGGCATAAATCCCCTTACAGATCTGCGTTTCATAGGCCCCGTTCCCCTCAGGAAGACCTGGTGTCTTCTGGGATCTGTCAGGCTCACCTGAGGCCGAACGAGAAGGGGTTGGAGTCTGCGCAGCCTGGGGTCACCCTGGCCCTTCCCTGAGACCCCGGGCTCTCAAGCCTTGGCCTGGTGATGCCTGGAGCCCCAGCTGGGCCCACAGCTGTCCACCCCAAGGGGGAGGGGGCGAACATCACTCATACTCTGTCTGTCTCTGTGAATTTGTCTCTGTTTCTTTCTTTCTCTCCTCTCACTTGGTCTCTGCCTCGCTTTGTCTCATGTCTTTCTGCCTTTTTCTCTCTCTCTTTCTGTTTCTTTCCTCTCAGCCTCTGTTTTTTTCTCTCTGTGTTTCTGTTTCTCTGTTTCCTTCTCTCCTCTCTCTTGGCCTCTGTCTCTGTCTTTCTCTCTGTTTCGCTCTCTGTTTCTCTCCTCTCTCGTGGCCTCTGTCTCTCTCTCATCTCTGTCTATATAAAATCTCCAGTGTACCAAGGAGACAGCGTGGCCCTCGCCCACTGTCTCCAGCCTGAGTTATACATAGCCCAGCCCACGTCCGTCCGTGGTGGGGTGGGCTCTGCTATAAATACACGCGGCGGTGAGAGGCTCAGCTGGGCAGAGGCGCTCGGCTTTCATGGACGGGCTGCCGGCAGAGCCTGTTCCAAATGCCGTCTAAACAGAAGGCTGCTATTTTTGCCTCTTCTGTCTATAAATCCTTGTTGCTGTAGTTACCGTTGAGTCGGGGCGAAATTAGAACTGGTTGTTGTGGGCTGGTTTTTGTTGTTTTTTATAAACTTGCCAGTTCTTCTCCCTCTGCCTGCCCCCCCAAAATAGAGCTTCTAAAATGAGACTGTCATGATGTCCCATGACCCAGCAGAGCTAAAAACACCCTCGGGACGCTTTCACAGCTCCTTTTCTGCCAGTGTGGCCAGGCCATGGCATTCGTCCCACCCTTCCACCCCTCATTTCGCACTGCCGGGGAGACCAAGGCCAGGGGGGCATCAGGGCGGCCCAGGACTCCCTTCCCCTCTTCCCTCCTAATGGCGCAGCCCAGGATGGAGGGGGACCCATGAGCCCAGAGGCCAAGGGCACGCTGCATTCAGACGTTCAGTGAGCACTGTCTGTGTGCAGAGCCCTGCCCCGGCCTCTGGAGGAAACCACAGGGTCTTACCCTCTCATTTTACAGAGGAGGAAACTAAGGCACAGGTCACGCAGGGAGGAGGGAGTCGATTTTAAGCCAGGCCCTCTGACTCCAGGTCCATTCTCTTCTTCCTCTACTGCATTACCCATCACCCACGAAGCACCTATTAAGCACCTACTGTGTGCCAGGGGACGAAAGCAGAAGGGGAATCGGCCCTGCTTCCAGCAAGCTTCTGTACAGAATAGAGGAGGGTTGATTTGGGACGTGGAAGTGAGGAGGAAGAGGCCGCAGCGTGGGCAGGGAGTGGCCGGCCAGCCTTTCCAGCTGAGCCGAGCTTTCCTGAAGGGGGAGGATGAGGTGGAACTCAAGAGTTTGGAAGGATGGCCTGGACCCAGAGTGTGCCATGCTTGGAATGAGGCCTTTGTGTCTTGGCCTGGAGGCAAGAGGGAGCCATGGGGAGTTCTTGAGCAAGGGCCCTCCGTTTGACCACTGTGCCAAGGACAGTTGGGGAGGGGAGAGGCTGCACGTAGGGAGACCAGTGCAGGCAGGAAGCGACAAGGCCTAAGCTGGCACGGGGGCCGTGACAGAGTCGTGACTGGCAGCGTCCTTACGGGAGAGTGCAGAGGGAAGGAGAGGAGAGGTCGCGAGTTCTGTGGGGGGGGACATCGGGGTCTAGCAGCGAGTTAGAGACGCAGGCTCAGAGCCCAGGAAACTGTCCCTGCCCCAGTGGATGCAGAGGTGACCAGGACACGCCAAGCTGAGCAGGGCAGAAGGAGGCTCACAGAGAAGGTGACGGGCTGGTGGAATGCTCTGGGGCATTGTTGTTCTGGCAGGAGAGCCTGAGGCCCCTACCCCCTTCTGCCCCGGGGACTCTAGGATTGAAGAATGACAGCAAACATTTACTAAGCACCTACTGTGTACAGGGTCCTGGACTAGATACTGAGGAGTGGAGGCAGAGTGGAGAGGCCCTCCCCTCCAGGGCCTGAGGGGATGTGGCAGGACCCAGAAGAGTCTAGCCCAGGTGGGTTGAAGGCGAGGAGGGCCCAGCCCCTCAGTGGGGCTTAGTTGGTGCTCGTGGACTGACTGATGGACTCCTCTGAGGCAGGAGATGGAGTGTGGGGCTCAAGAACCAGTGAATAGTTCTTTTGGTCTGGACCCTGGAGCTGGTGAAAGGGAGTGACAGCCAAGCAAGGTCTGCAGAGCCCTTCTGGCAGGGAGGTCGGTGGTGTTTTACAAACTGTAGGTGATGGGGAGCCATAGAAGGTTTCTGGAGCAGGGGAGTGCCGTGGGAAGACGGCAGAGCTGGACTGTGTGGGACAGACTGGGGGTAGGAGTCGCATGAGACCGAGTGGGGGTCCAGGCCAGAGAGCTGCCAAGCCAGGGCAGGGGTGACGGAGTGGAGCTGGGGTGGGGGACACCTGGGAGGAGACAGGAGATTCCCAGCTGGCCTTGGCCGCAACACGAGCAGAGTGAGGGCGGGGAGGCATGCCGATTCTCCCGTGTCCCCGAGCATCGTCATCGTCAGAATGGGGAGGATGGTAGAAGCGTGGCCAGGGAGCCCGCCAGGCCCTGGATGTGGGGCCCGTGCCCGCGTCTGCCCATGTTGCTGGGCTTTGGCTGACAGCCCTGCTGGGCTCTCTCTCCTCAGATGGTCTGGTGAAGAGGCTGGAAGAGCTCGAGCGGACGGCCGAGTTGTACAAAGGTGAGCGCCCTGGCCCGCTGACCCCTGTGCTGACCCTCACCCCGCCCTCTGTCCCAGGGCTACAAGGCAAAGGTTAATGCAGTCTCCGGCACTTGCTGCTGGTGAACTTGGGGAAGGCACTTCCCTTGTCAGACCCTCAGTTTTCTCTTCTGTAAAATGGGGTTAATAACATCTGCGTGATTGACTTCCCAAGGAGAAAAGTTCTCATGTAAGGTAAAGCTGCATAGAAAACTGGGCATAGTCCAGGAGGGCTTCCCGGAGGTAGTGAGTCCCTGAGCAGTCAGGAGTGGGGAACCTGTGGCCTCGAGGCTACAAGTGGCTGTCCTCACCTGCAGCCACACAACAGATCCCCTTCATTAAAGGATTTGCTCTGTCAAACCTGGACTCAGTCCAGAGGTCGCACCGAGGACTAGACTGTAGCCCTTTGGGCAGGATCCGCTCTCTTGCCCCATTCCCGGTGGTTTAGTGAGAGGAGTGAGGAGACCTGTATCAGGGTCTGCTCACAGGGTGCCCGTGGCCAGATCCTTGCTCTGCAGGAATGGAGAGTCACGCGCATAACAAAGGGTGTCTGTGCATGTTGAAGAGGGATCCTTGGAGATCCTTTACTCAAGTAAAAATACGCTCGTTGGGGCCACATACGCTGGAACTAATGAAAAAAAATGTGGTAGAGAGCGTAGTGTCTGTGCAGAGACTTGGCGTTAATCCTGGAAGAAGGGGATGTAGCGTTGGAACGCTGCTTTCTTCCCAAGCAGGGCGTGAGGGAAGGGTTTAGATGCAGGGAGGCTCAATGCAGATGCTGCCTCTGACTCCAGGCACGTCCCTTCCCTTCCCTGGGCCTCAGTTTCCTCCTCTGTGATGGCCCCTGAGGTGGGGTCCCGCTCTCGGTGGTTGGAGTTCCACTCTCCAGGCCTGGTGCCTTGGTCATACCAGGCCTTCAGCTCTGGGCTTGTGAAATCAAAATGCCCCACCCACCCCCCATGAGTGTCTGGTTGGCCTCCCCCGTCCGAGCGCCGTGCTCCCCTTCCTGGCTTCTGCCTCAATAGAAGGGGCTCAGGACAGCTGGCCCCGGAGAGGCTCTGGTGGCTCCCCCTGCGTCTGGTCAGATTGTGACTGCTGGGGATTGCTGGGGGCTCCTGGGTAGTATGTGCGTGAGGGGAGGGGGCCACACAGCATGTGAGGGGTGGTGCTTCTTGTCCTTTGCCAGGTATGACCGAACACACCAAGAGCCTTCTGCGAGCCTTCTTCGACTTGTCCCAGACACACCGAGGTGAGGACGGCAGGACGCCTCCCATTCTGGGGGATGGGGGGGATCCTAGCGTTGCACAGTCTTGCTCCAGCTCAGCAGGCCCCTTGTCATGCCAGCTTAGGTGCCCAGTCAGCAGCAGGCATTTAGGAAGCGCCCACATCCTCCACCCCCCATAAGTGCCAGATGCTCAGCTCTGCTTTCTTGGTCCCGCACTGACTTTAGCTGACCTGGCCCGGGGGCAAGGGGCCTGCTTTTATCACCCCTGCCCCAGCCCCCTGCCGTGCTCTCTCCCAGGGGCCCTGGGAGGGGGCTCCTTCACGGCATCTCCGTCATGCAGCCTTTGGAGACGTCTTTTCGGTGATTGGAGTCCGCGAGCCCCAGCCAGCAGCCAGCGAGGCCTTCGTGAAGTTTGCCGAAGCCCACCGCAACATCGAGAAGTTTGGGATCCGGCTCCTGAAAACCGTCAAACCCGTAGGTTTGGCCTGACTTTGGGTCTCTGTGTGTGTCCGTGTCTCTGTCTGGGGGGGATAGTGAGTAAATGTGTGTGTGTGTCTGGGGGGGCACCAGGGATCCCTGGCATGTCCTCATGACCCGAGGGAGGGAGGGCGGAGCGAGGAGCCAGCGGGTGCCTGTCGTGCTGCGTCCTGAGCTGAGGCATGGGGCAAGCAGAAGCCTCGGGGCCTCCTCGGGGCCCCCTTGGGGCAGCCGTGGCTTCACCTTGCTGGTCACGATACCCTGGCCCAGAGCCTCGAGGTGCTCATCGATCGGCTGATTGATGGGCCTGCTTCTCTGAGCCTCAGCCCCCGTCTGTCTGAGGGAGGTGATCGCCCGGCCCCTCTCCCCCTGCAGTGTCTCTGGGAGGACAGTGCTTTGAAAAGTGGGGGCTGCCCCTTTCGGTGATTAGCAAAAGTCGGGAAGTCCTGGGTGGGAATCCTGCTTCCGATGACTCTGGGGAGTGACCTTGGGCAGGTTGACCCCTTGGTGCTCTTGGGACGTCTTGAGACTAGAGGTTGGAAACACCATGGAGGTGTTTGGCATGACTGCACACGTGTAACCTGTATCGAGGTGCTTGCCTTCTCAGTGAGGGTGGGTGGGGAGGGGGGGAGGGAGGGAGAAAATTTGGAATCCAAAGTTTTAAAAACGCATGTTAAAAATTGTTTCCACGTGCAACTGGGAAATAAGATCTACAGGCAATGGGGTATAGAAATCTGTCCTGCCCTACAGGAAAATGGAAGGGGAAGGGGATAAGAGAAGGGGGGGATGATAGAAGGGGGGACAGATTAGGGGAAGGGGTATTCAGAATGCACGCTATCTTGGAGTGGGGGGAGGGGCGAGATGGGGAGAAAATTTGGAACTCAATCTTGTGGAAGTGAATGTTGAAAACTAAAAATAAGTAAATTTAAAAAAACAGACGAGGTTGGAGAGAAGGCCCCGATGACCTGTGCAGGTAGAGGAAATGTCCCCACCACGAATTCCCCACACCAAGAAACTCCCAGGTCATAAAACAAAGTCATGTTCTTAGTAACTGGGGGCAGACGAGCAGTTGGCCAGCACTGATGGGGGCCCTTCTGGGTGCTGCTGTCCATGCGGGGCTGGCTTTAGCATCGGCTGGCCTGGACCTCCAGTCCAGCCTCTAGCCAGGGTCACTCTTGACCTCTCTGGGCCCTGGGCAGCTCTGGAAGTCTGGGAGTTGCCTGCACGGATGAACAAAATCACAGGGTGTGACTGTAGGCCTCAGGCCCCCTGCCCTTAGCGGGGTCTGGCAGGCTCTGCCGCTCACACAAGGCCCCTGATCCCCTGATCCCCTGCAGATGCTGACAGATCTGAACACGTACCTCAACAAAGCCATCCCTGACACCCGCCTCACCATTAAGAAATACCTGGACGTGAAGTTTGAGTACCTGGTGAGTGAGGTGTGACGCAGGTCTTTGTGCAAGGGGACCCTGGAGGGTCAGCCCAGGACAGACCACGCCTGTGCTGGGGACCAAGCTCCCAGCACCAAGAGTGTAGCCTGAGAGCACTTGGCAGCGGCTGGCACCCTCACTGGGCCTAGCTCGTTGCCCACCCCCCAGTGCCAGGGCAACGCTTCCTCACCGAGGGGCCTGGAACCCAGGCTGTGGCTGGGAGGGCCCAGGAAAGGCGAGCCCAGACATTAGCCTTTTGTGACCTCCACAATCCAGGCCCGGGTCTGCCCATCCTGGAGATGCCAAGGTCGGAGCAGACAATCTCTCAGGCTCCTTGTATCTGGCTTTGCCCTGGGTTGCCCGTGGTGCTTTGGAGACAGACGTTTACGGAGTACCTCGTGCGAGCCACAGCTTTGCAGAAGCTCGTAGGGTTCTTGCTCAGCACTGACCCCAAGCCTGCCCTCCTCTGCCCAGTCAGTACCCTGGGGCCTCCTGGAGGGCGCGGGCGTGCCCCTCACCCCCCGCCCTCGGCTTCCTCTTTCCCTGCAGTCTTACTGCCTGAAGGTGAAAGAGATGGATGACGAGGAGTACAGCTGCATTGTGAGTGCCTGGACGGTACCCCCCCACCTTGTGTCCACTGTGTGTGTCCACTCCCCAGACCTTTCCCAGCCTCCGCTGTGGCTGCCCCGCCCTGCCTCCCAGGCTGACCTCGGGCAGATCTCTTCCCCGCTTTGGGCTCCATCTTCCCTCGGTAAAACGTGGGGCCCCCCGGCACCATCCCCTGGATCTTGCTCTCCTCTGGCAGATGAGGGTCGGTTGCTTGGCCCGTCCTGCCCACCGCATGCTGAGGGTGGGTGTGAGACAGTTAATGAGATCGTGGGTGGCCTCCCTGCCCAGGACAGGGGGGGGCTCGGAGGTCCAGGATCGCAGATGGAAGGGGCTTGGAAGAGCGACAAGGGCCCCATGGGGTGGGGGGCACACGGATGCTGACGGCCTTTGTCGGTGCTGGACGGTGGAAAGAGTCACCAGACCAGGGTAGCCACAAGGCCGGCCCACAGCCTCCCCTCTCACCGTGCGCTCACTGCTGTCCCCCATCCTGAGCCCTCACGTGTCCTTGTTCCAGACTCCCTGATCTGTCTTCCCCTTGTACCTGTTCCCCCCCCCCCGCAGGCCCTTGGGGAGCCCCTGTACCGCGTAAGCACCGGCAACTATGAGTACCGCCTCATTCTGCGATGCCGCCAGGAGGCCCGGTCACGTTTTGCCAAAATGAGGAAGGATGTGTTGGAGAAGATCGAGCTGTTGGACCAGAAACACGGTGAATGGGACCGGGGAGGTGGGTGGGTGGCCCCCCATTCTTGTGCTTTCCCCCATGTTCCCCTGCCCAAAGATCACCAGGTGTCAGAGCCAAGGATAGTTGGGAAAGCTCTGTGCTAATTAAAGCTGCCCCATGAGGGAGTGGGTCAGCCTGTCAGGTAGTGAGTTCCCCATCTGTGGAGTTGTTCAGGCAGTGCTGGATGAGGTGGGATGGTGCAGAGCGAACAGAGCACCCTGGCTTGAAGTCAGAGCCCCTGGATGGGTCACTGGCCTTGTTTGGGCCTCAATTTCTTTATCTGCAAAATGAGACAGACCCTCAGCCAGCTCCTGGGCCCTGTTGGGTTGGGGGAGACCTTGGGCCCGTCGCGGCCGGGAGCCTCTGCCTCCATCCCAGGACTGGTGGGCGGGAAGGGAAGGAGGGCCGGCCGTCAGGAAGCTGACCCCCCGCCCCACCTCCGCCCCCCAGTCCAGGACATCGTGTTCCAGCTGCAGCGCTTCGTCTCCACCATGTCCAAGTACTACGATGACTGTTACGCGGCCCTGCGGGACGCGGACGTCTTCCCCATCGAGGTAGATCTGGCCCGGACCACCCTCGCCTACGGCCAGAAGGACCTCTACGCGGAGGATGAGGATGAGGAGGGGGCGGCAGCTGCCGGGGAGCCCCAGGGGCCGCGAGGCTCCCAAGAGGAGAACGGGGAGAAGCTCATTGACATGCCCGAGTGACCCCCCCCACACCCCCAGGTGGGGTGCAGGGCTGGTGACGGCTGGGAGGCCGGGAGGGGAGACGTGGACCCACTGCCCAAGGTGACTGATAAAGACCCGCTGGTGTGGGGGCTGACGTCTCATCTCTGCCTCTGTCCCAGGCCAGCCGGGGAGCCCAGCCTCAGTTTCCCCCACTGCCAGGCTGTGGCTTCCCCCCGGGCCCCTAGTCGCTACCCGTTCAGTGTTTCCTCCCTGGCTGGGGGGGAAGAGGGAAGGAGAGAAAAGACCCCTCCCCAAGGGTGAAGGTGGGTGTGGGGCCGTGCCCTGGTCCCACTTTGAATCTCCTGAGCTTTACTCAGGGAGGGACCCCCTCCCTTCTCCCTGCCCTAATCTGGCCACCCCCCTCCCTGGCAGGAGTGGGGGGGGTGGGTAGAGGCCAGACCCCCTCCCCTGCCAGGGCCAGGGCTGCCTTTCCCACCCTCCTTGCTTCTGGGAGGGTGGGGGAGGCAGCTTCACTTGGCTTTCCCCCTCTGCTCTGAAAGTGGGCCAGCCCCTCAAGGGTCCAGTGTGGTAGGGGGGTGACCAGACCTCACACTCAGGGGTGTCCCTTATTTATTAAGCTCTCCCTGCCCCTCTGCTTGTGTTCTGGGGCTCCGGTGCCTTGGGCTGGGGCTGGGGGTCAGGGTTCCGGGGAGGGGGTCGGGGGTTGGGAATCCTGTACTTTAATAAAGAGAAAGCTGAATTGTGACTTTTCGGTGGCTGCCCCTTCTGGGCTAAGTGAGGGAGGCTGGAAATCCAAGGCCCCAAACCCCCTTAACTGACCTCTCCTCACCTGGTCCCAGACCTGGGGCGGGGCCTCATTGCAGAGGCAGCTCTAGACCAGGTGCCCACATCCTGTCCCTCCCCTCCATACCTGCCTCTCCTTCCAGATTGGGGCTCCACCTGCTGACCACACCCCGCAACAGCAGCCTGCCCCCGGGGGCCCGGGCACATCTCTTAAAAAAAAAAAAATTGTCTGTCTTGATGCCTTTTGTCTTTATGTCCCATTCGCTTCCCCATGGAGCCCTCCTTGTTGATTAGAAGCGTCTCAGGAAAGCCAGCGCCCTCTGACCGTGTTAATGAAGGAGGGAGCCACATTTCCTCCTCTGTCAGGACCCAGTGTGGCCATGGCTTGTTTTTAAATGTTAAGTTTCCTCGATGTGTCTTGTTGCATTTCCAAAGCTTCTCCAGCATACCTCCCCCTCCAGAGAGCCATCCTTTCTAACAGAGAACTTCTTAAAGACAAAAAGAAGAGGAAGAAGGCAGAGGGAGCTGAAAACCTGGCTCCCCCCGGGGGTCCCCGCTTCCACACCCCTCTGGGGGTGCCTTAGCTCTCGTGGATGATTTCGCCGCCTTCGCTTTGGACTGTTTGTGGTGCTTTCCGAGTACGCCGTGGTCGCTGGGTGGATTGTCTCCTGGTCCTGCTGCTTCCCTCCACGTCAGTTCATTCAGATCTTTCCGGGCTTCTCTGCATTGGGCACCCGCATTTCCTACAGCCCGGTCACAGTCCCGTTCCATTCCGTTCATTTAAGAGAATTCGTTTAGCGGGTCCCCGATTGATGGGCATCTCCTCTGCTTCTAATTCTTAGCCGTCGCTAAAAGTGCTGCTGTGAACATTTTGGTGTGTGTGGGGACTTTTCTTATTAATGACCTATGAGCGGAATCTCTGGGTCAAGGGTGTGAATGTTTCAGTCACTTGAGTTGTATAAGTGAATGTTATTTTCCAGAATGGTCATACAGATCTGCAGCTCGGCCAACAGTGTAGTACGCTTATCTCCCCTGACTCCTCAGCTTTGACTTTTCCCATCTTCCGTCATCTCTGCCAATTTGGGTGTGAAGTAAAACCTCACGATTGTTTTGATTTGCATTTCTCTTACCATGATTCAGAGCATTCTTTCATTTGGTTGTTGAGAGTTGGCAATCTTTCTGAAAACTATCCACATCTTCTGATTACTTGTCTTTTGGGGCACAGCTTTTGGTTTTATATGCACACACTAATTATATAAAAAGTACAAAATGCTTACCAAAAAAAAGTTTGATGTAAAGCCCCGCCATTTTACTACTTTTCTTCTTTCTTCTAGGTATGTTAGTTTTGTTTTTCCAGAAGCATTTCGGTTTCAGACCAAAGTAATCTACCTTGTCTTTTGTAATTTCCTCTATCTTTTGTTTGGTTAAAAATATATCTACCTGTAGCAGGAAAGGTACATGGTCTGTTTTCCTTCTTATTTTTTAATGTCTCTAATATTAAGGTCACGTTTCCATTTAGAATGTATTGGGGAGGGTGGTGTAAGATTTTGGCCTCTGCCTGATTTCTACCGGACTGCTCTCTAGTTTTCCCAGCAATTCTCACGTAGGGAGAAATTATCAGGTTAATCATTGTTTGAGTCTGCGTTATCTAGTCTGGTCTGTTTCTCTACCTTGGCCTTTACTTTGAATAGGTCAGTGTCTGGTTTTGGGTTCTTTTCATCTATACTGTTGTAGTGTAGATGTTTTCCTGGTTCTCCTTACCTCATTCAGCATCAGTCAGTAATGCAAGTTTTTCCCTACTTCTGCAGATTCAGATTTGTCATTTCTCATGGCACAGTAATTTTCCATTTCATTTGCATCTCACAATTTGTTTATCAGACCTTCCTTTTCAAGGGAATCTTAACAGTGAAAGTCTCCCCCATCATCTCACTTGTAACCCACAAGCCACCGCTCCCAAGATGTCTCCTAAGATTTCTGTTGGGGAAGGTCCTTAGAAAAGCACTGATCTTTCCCACTGACCTTGGAGCCCTGGGACTTCCATTTTTTGCCATTTCCTCCTTCTGTGGCCTTGGGCAAGTTACCTGACCTCTCTGGGCCTCAGTTTCTTGGTCTGTGAAATGAGAGGGTTAGACTAGATGATTCCTGAGGTCCCAGCTCAGGGTCTGTGGTCTTGTGATTGGGTTTAGATCGTCTGGTCCAATCCTGTCACTTGATAGAGAAGGCAGTGGGCCCCAGTGGTTAGGACTTGTCACAGTACGCTCAGCTGGTCGTAAGCAAAGCTGGTTGTGTGACTCCCAGGCTGTCCTCACTGCACCTTTATTTCCATCAGGCTGCTGCATGAAATAGAACTAGGTCCCATACTTGGGACTCCAGACCTATAGGGCCCTTGGGCATCTTTCCAGGATGGAATAGAAGGAAGAGAGGAGCACAGACCCCAAGCCAAGCTCTGCAGCTCAAGCCTACCCCTGACTCCACTGAGCACGGCCTCTGTCTACCTAATGCCCTCGAATGGCTGATCCCGGCACAGCCCTCCTACCTGGGTCCCCATTGTCCTCTGTATCACCCAGCCCCACCAGCAATGCCATGTGGTTAAAGGTTTGGTGTAGTGAAGAGAGCCCTGGAGATGAGGCTTAAAATAAGAGAAGCTTGGTACTGTGGAGAGAACCTTGGGTTTGGAGCTAGCAGAATATTTAGTGAAGGCATGCTGTCCTGGTGGTCAAGATGGAAAGATGGCAGCCAGGTGATCATCCAGTTAGGCGAATTCAGAGTAGATTGAATGATTGAGCCCAAATTATGATTGGTGGTTGAATATCAACAGGCAGGGGGTGGGTCTCCACTGGAGGGCCGCAGGGACCTATATTTTTTTCATAATAAAGTGATAGTATTTTTACCCTTCCAGATGGATGATGACACAAGGCTGGGAGAGGTAGCTAATATTCTGGATGACAGGATAAAAAAAAAAAATCTAACATTAGAAAAACGAGCCAAGTCTAATCAGATGAAATGTAATGGCTATAAATAAATGTCAGATCTTAGGCTTGGGTTCCAAAATCAACCACACTAGTATAGAATGGGGGATACGTAGTTAGCTAATGATATTGTAGAATCAGAGATCATCTCATAGCCTCTTTTTAAGTTAAATTTTTATTTTTTTCCAATTACAGGTATGATTTTTTAATTTTCAAATAATCTACCTTCCCCACCCGACTGAGAAAGCAAGAAAGAACTTTATAAACACATGGTGAAGCAAAATAAATTCCCATGTTTCCCCTGTTGCTCACTTCCCCCCATGTCTCAATCAGCACTCGAGGCCATCCTCTCTCTTAGGAGCTAGGGAGATGACCTGTTTCATCTTGATTCTTCTGGATTTGTGGCTGGTCATGTAGTAGGCACTTGATTGATTGATCAGAGTTCCTACATCTGCTCACTTCTCTGCATCAGCTCATACAGGTCTTCCCAGGTTTACCTTAAAACTACACCCTTCATTATTTCTTGGTGCACAGTAGTAGTCCATCATGTACACATTAACGTGGTTAGCCTTTCCCCAACTGATGAGCATCCCCTTGGTTTTGTCTTTGCCACTGGAAACAGCGCTGCCCTAAGTATGCTATAAATATAGGTCCTTTCCCCCATTCTTTGATCTCTTTAGTCAAAGGGTATGCAAGTTTAGTAGTGTTTTGGGCATGGTTCCCAATTGCTTTCCAGAATAACTGGACCAGTCCACTGCTCCACCAACAGTGTATTTAATATACCTGTTTTCCCACACCACCACCAGCATTTGTCATTTTTCTTTATGTTTTAATACGCATTTCTCTATCAGTGATTCTTAGTATATTTTCACACGGATACTGATAGTTTGGTTTTCTTCCTCTGAGCACTGCCAGTTCTTAACCTTTGAAACCACTTATCATTTGGGGAATGCAATTACCTCATTTTACCCAATGAGGAAGCAGGCCCAGGGAGAGTCAAAACCATACAGTAGTCCTCTTCAGAGGGGGCATTTGCAGCTATTGTGCCCGTGTGTGTGTGTGTGTGTGTGTGAAAATGAGCCAAAGCTTTTAGTAAACTAAACTGCAAGGCCAAAGTGAGACAACAGAAGATGGGCCTTTAAGGAACATGGTGGTCGGAACTGGAGCCATGAGTGTCCCCATGTGCTCCAACTTTGTCAAATAGAGCTTGAGAATTGTGTTCTGTTCTGGGCACCACATTTTGGCAAGGACAATAATAACGGACAGATAGCCCCTTAAAGTTTGCCTAGTGCTATGACATGTTAGTAACTTATTTGAGCCTCAAAAAAGTACCTGTAGGAAGTACCCCCAACCCCATTTTATAGAGAAGTAAACGAACTAAGAGGCGGGAAGTGATCTGCCCAAAGTCAAACAGCTAGAGTCAGAGGTGAGTCTTTGAGGCCAGATTGCCTTCACTCCCAAGTTAGGCATTTCACCCTCTGTACTACTCTACCTGTGCAGAGGATAGTGGTCAGGTGTGGAGACCATACTATTCGGGACAGGGGAAGAGTCATCTTCAAGTATGTGAAGGGGTCTCATAGGAGGAGAAAAACATGTTCTCCTTGGTTCCCCAGGAGCAGTTGGTGGTGGGGGGAGTTACAGAGAGGGAGACTTAGGCTTAATGTAAGAAAAAAATGACCAACGAATGCTGTCCAAGAATGGATGAACTGTTTTGGCAAGCATGGGTCCTTGTCCCTGGAGGCCCGCTGGCCATCTGCTGGCCAATGGTGTCAAAGTCAAATAGAAATGGGTGACTGCAGTGTATGTAAGGATGCCTGCAGGCAGCTTACTGGCTTAGAAGACCATGCACTAACATTATTTATGTTCTATTGCATTTTTATTAATTTTGTTAATTTCCAATTACATTTTAATCTGGTGCAGGCAGCAGTGGGGAAGGGCTTTTGACCGCTTTGGAGGATTCTTGTTCAGCTGTGGGTTGGACCAGCTTTGCTGGAATCCCTTTCAGCTCTGAGGCCTGAGGGTCGGGGACTGACTGGCCCAAGGTCACATGGTGAGCTAGTGTCATGTCAGGAGAGGAATCCAGGTTTCATGACTCTCAGTGTTATTTCCACCATGGAGTAAGGTATGGAAGGAAAATGGCTTCCCCCTTGCCCCACACATATACCTTTTCACTCTCCTATGGAGGGCATGAAGGCTAAGCAAACAGCCTTGCCTAATTAGGGTCTACTGTACTTGTAGATCTAAAAAGGTACAAGGGACAAGCCTTATATTACACGCCAGATCACTGGGATGAGAACCCAAGCGTCCTGCTTCTTAGAATTTCTTGGGGGAAAGAGGAGTGGGATAGCACTAGATTTATGTCCCTATGCCCCCGTGATTCTGTTATTAATGTGGTCCTGCCCCCCCAGTCTTATAACTTAGTCATTCTAGCCATCCATACAGGAAGAACCAAATGCATGAAAAATGCGCTACGAACTGTGACATGGAGTTGAATGGGCAGTTCATTGAGTCAGTCCTTCAGTGTGTACTGATATCTGGGACGGGCACCACAGATGGACAATAAGCTCGGCCTGGCAATGAGGGGGAGGGCAAGTTGGAGCACACGGAACAAGTCTGTCTGGTACCAGTGTCCTGTTGGTATTTGGGGGGCTCTCAGAGTTACAGGGGCAGGGACTCAGTCCCCATGGAGGACAGCTCAGCCCAGAAAAGGTGGGCCATTCCCACGTCAAGAGTGGAGGATGACAGTGAACAGGGCTGGTACGCTGCTCTGTCCACATCAAGAGAAGGCAAGCCTCTCACGGACTTGGAGGCTCCCCTCGGAGGATGAGAGCACCCCACTGGAGCATCCTTCCCTGCCCTCCCAAAGTCCCCACCCTCCGCGCCTGGGAGGCTAGAATCCACCTTTGCTAAGCATCTCTGCAGAGCCTCCCAGTACAGGTTTGCCCTCTTCCTCCCCGTCCTCTTCCTCTTCTTCCTCAGCCTGCTCCACATCGGGGGCCACGTGGTTCTCAGAGTGCTGGGGGGCAGCCGTAGCAGCAGCGGGGGGGCTGGGGTCACTGTCATACTCAGCCTCTTCTGTGTCCCTGGCCCCAGGGGGAGGGTCCGGGGCGAGTTCTGGACCGCAAGGCTTCCTCAGACAGCAGTA